GTTTTTATTTTCGTCGGCTCTTCCTTTGGTCGGAATGCTTGCAGGTGTGCCGGTCACCGTCGTCGTCAGAATGGAATTTTCAGTGTGTCGGATATTGGTCCAGTTCCTCTCGGTTGTATCCGGGTCGAGAGAAGGGTTGATCGATCCGATACACGACAGGTAAAAACGTTTCGACTCCTTTCGACTGAAAAGCCGATACGTCTTCTCCACTGACAACCGTTGACTGACGTATCGTTGATAATTTCGTTCTTGACGCGCCTTGGAAAAGCGTATCTTAGCTTGTCGACTCGATACTGTTCCTTGGAGATTCCTGTTCTCTTTACTCTTTAGCGGACTCATTATTATTATTATTATTCGTTCTTTAACTGGAAACGCTCTTTACAAAATTATACAGAGAAAATATTATCGCTTATAAAATTTTGCAAAATAATTTAAGGTTTCTTGTGTGTCGCTCGATTATATCTGTTTTCGTGTCTAATAAGAAAATTTCTCTTTATTCTTAGAAGATGATTCGTGAAACGAAGAATTAATTGTCGATCTTCTCCCTAGGCAGAGATGTAGTACGCGGGCAGCGAAAACGAAGGAAAGGTTGTGTCGTTTATGACGTTTAATAAATCACACGGCCACCGAAAATTGATTCGACGAAAAATTAGGGAGAGTCTTTCTCGCGTTGTCCGCCCTGCATAGTATCCGATGTGCCCGCGACCCTTCCTCGAAATTACCCAGAATTTTTCTGCACCCAGCGACGGAGCCGAAGGGGAAGTATAACGCGGCTCTTTTCCCCTCTTGGCCGCCATTGTCTGCCCCGTTTGGAATTCAATTCGAGTCCGGCGAATCTCCCAGTATCTCGAGACTACTCGCAGAAACGCGACAAGAAGGTGTTCGTGGATGCAAAGCCGTAAATCTCGGCCCGCTAATTGAAACGACGTCGAAAGAAGGAAACGATAGCGCGAAAGGTTCCACCGGCTGTCCTGAATCGTGGCGCGAAGGGTGGACGGTTTCCTCCGATCGTTTTTCATGCCTCCTCTGACCTCTTTCCTTCCCTTTTTCGTTTCGCGATCCGCTTATAGTCCGAACAAATTCAACAGGACACTCGAACCTCTTCCACTGCGGATTATGGACTTTCTAGAAAATCTCTTCGATCCGTTAGGTGCTTAAAAATTAAAAAAATTTTGCCATGATTTACCGTACAGTTACCCCCACTCGTATTCGTAAATAGTGATTCGTTTCATTAAATGAAAAAATAGTTGCTTCTTTCAAACTGGCGTGAATCCATTTTTTCATACACTGAGATATTTAAGGGTTTGTTTTAAATTTAGAAACAAAACTTATTGTTGGTATTATTATTTATTATTGTACGCTGCTTATTTTATACTTCTCTATCGGTTTTGTAATTATTGCTTGCCCGTTAATATTAAAACGTAAACAAAACAAGAGAAACTACTTTGTAAATGTAAGCAAAATGCAGTGTAATAAATAACATTTGGTAGAAATAGATGAATAGAATTCATAGAAAACGAAAATTAGTTTCTATTTATAATCGCCATACAGTGTAAGAAAAACAATATTTGGTAAAAATAAATGGAAAAAACTCGTAAGAATCGTCATTATAGTGTACGAATACGAGTAGGAGTAATTGTATATGATTACACGAGGTAATCCAGAGACTCTATGTACTCTATGAGACATGGACTCACAAGCGTTCAATCCTTTTCGAGTCTAGTTTGACGAATCTATATTTTAATTAAAAGAGAAGTTGTATTTTAACGAAATCGTAAAGACGATTAGTTTCAGTGTTAATTTGTTCCCATACAAAGCGAACACCAAAATGACGGTTTCGCGGGCTCGATAGGCGTGAAAAGGGCCCCATTTTGTAGTGGATGGGAATTTGTTTGCGTCGATGGTGAAACTGGTTCGATATAGGTCCTTTTACGAGCAACGGATTCCTGAGATTGGCGGGGACAGTGTTCAGTTTCAGTGACGTAGATAGCAGCGGCGATGGTTCGAGTTCCTTCGAACTCGAGTGTTCGCGTTCTCGCCAGAGACGGCTTATTATAATCCTTTGTGAAGCCCACCAAGGCTTCTCTAGCGAAGGTTTCTGGCCTTTGATCCGACCGGACGATCGATCATTGTGCAACGTCTCACGTCCACGGGAAAGCAGAAGGAGAGGAAAAGACGAAGAATGAGCTCGATGCAGCGTGTGTCACCTACGTGAGCTGTTTTAAACGCAGCCGTCTGAGAATTCTCTTTACAACCCCCTTTCTCTTGGATCCCTGCCCTAAATAACGCGGTTCTCCTCGGTAGACAGACAAATTCGCATTTATACTTTGAGGTAATAAACGAACAATTATAACAATGCTTGTATTCTTTGAAAATAACTTTTCTCTGCTCGTGAAACTCCAGATTTATTTGTTAACGAATTATGTGGATAATCGTGTCCCCGGAAAGTTTTAATTTTGCAATGGAAACGAGCAATAAAGCGTCAAAGCAATCCATAAAACGTCTCGTAATGCAGATACGTGTTCGAGCGCATTGAGCACGCCGCGAACCCGAAATTGAAATATCATATTCCCAGTTTATAACCAACGTGCATCAAGTACTGTAATTGCGGATCCCAGAATGCGTATAATTATACATAGTTTCATTTTAATCTCCGAAACATTCGAGAAATTTCCGTCTCCGAAGCGAAATCAAATTGCGTTCTACTTCCGCGTATGCGTTAAATAACAGCGCGGTTACAAATTCCCATAAAAATACACGCATCGATCTTTGGGCATGATCGTTTGGGTCAACAATGACGAAAGGTTGACATTTAATATTTATTCGAAACGTTCGTACTTCTGTTATCCGTCTATTGTGTACGCGTACAATAGTACACGTAACAATACAAAAAAATCATTTTTTCAGGGTTTATTAATCTTCTTTCCAAAATCTTTATTCATCTTCATTTTCGCGCTTGTCACTTTCTGAGCTTCGGTTCTTCATCAGAAACCGATTCGTCGCTGTCATCAAATAATAAATCATCCCTCGTACTGTCAAGAGAACGATGCTTTCGAGAAGATTAAAAAAAAAGAGGAGTAGAAAATACGTCCGAATTTTCGAATAAATTTTAGATGGAAAAAACGTAAATCCTTGGAGGTAAAAAAAGGTTTAGCAGGTGAGATTTACATGACTATTTTATTTTTATTTATTCTTGATTTTTTCGAGTTAGGAGGCTCAACTCAGTTTTTTTAAACGGTTATAATTTCTTTTGCATATTTAGTTGGTGGATTTGCAGTAAGAATGATTAAAAGCTGCTATTATGCATCGTTTAGAAGAGGATCGGCGTCTTAAGTACTAAAGTATTATAGTAATTTGTATCGTATCTCGAACGATGCTTTATTGTTATTTTAATTTCCGACCCTAACGATGTTTCCAATTTTCGAGGTAAAAAAAGATTTAGTAGGTGAAATTTACAATTTTTTTTTTTTCATTCCTGGCTTTTTCAAGTTAGGAGGCTCAACTCAGTTTTTTTAAACGGTTATAATTTGTTTTGCATATTTAGTTGGTGGATTTGCAGTAAGAATGATTAAAAGCTGCTATTATGCATCGTTTAGAAGAGGATCGGCGTCTTAAGTATTAAAGTATTATAGTAATTTGTATCGTATCTCGAACGATGCTTTGTTGTTATTTTAATTTCCGACCCTAACGATGTTTCCAATTTTCGAGGTAAAAAAAGATTTAGTAGGTGAAATTTACAATTTTTTTTTTCATTCTTGATTTTTTCGAGTTAGGAGGCTCAACTCAGTTTTTTTAAACGGTTATAATTTGTTTTGCATATTTAGTTGGTGGATTTGCAGTAAGAATGATTAAAAGCTGCTATTATGCATCGTTTAGAAGAGAATCGGCCTCTTAAGTACTCAAGAAGTAATTTGTATCGTATTTCGAACGATGTTTTGTTGATATTTTAATATCCATTCTTAACGACGTCTGCAATTTTCGAGGGTCGAAAAATAAGCGTCCGTTTCGTGTCGCGTTTACTTTTGCCCCTTTATTTGAGCCTCGCAATTCCATCATAGTCGGGGAACAAACTATGCGGTCGCGTGTGCATGGACGCGTGGCGTTGTGTGCGCGCAAATGGTGTGTTGAAATCGACAGGAGGCTCTTTAGGTATTTATTTGTAAGCCTGGTATATAAGCACCGCGGGTTCTCGTGTTGTGCCATTCGGAGAGACCTCGACAACCGCCACTTAAGCGGAACGCCGGAGGGGTGGCTTCCTTCCCCTGTATTCAATTAGTATACCGCACGAAATATCAATTCCATCGCTGGGAAGCTCCTTCGACGTTTTCGAGCATACGGGAATAAGAGAATACCTTCCGGGAAATGCAAGTATTTCTCGCGCATCGTACTCTTGTTAATCTCCGGGTATTTGTACGTTCTATTCGTGTTTATAAATTTTCGCAACGACTAGGATTTCTTTGCCAAAGCTGCTGCACGAAGCTTTCCGTTCAAGATCTACTCCACAATTTCTTAGTGTTTTTCTAGTTGTATTCGTGTATCAAAGATTTATACGCTACAGGAAGGTTTCAAATTTTATTTCAAACAAGTTACATTGGACAAATTTTCTATTTATTTATACAGTCAAATTATTATTAAATGGTTTTATAATCGCGAAAGAATGACTAAATAATAGACAGTATTTATTTTCGTAAATTATTACAACCACTTTTAGCGTTCTCAAAATAGATCGCTCGATTGTCTCAAAACATATCGGGGAACTTACATAATTGTATTTGCAAGAACTTTGTCGTAATTTACATTTATTTTTTAATCGCAAGCCTCCCTCGTTCGCCGTAATCCGCGCGAACCTTCGAATTCGTGCTACATATTCCACAGGTTCGAGTCCAATTAGGAACTCCCGTTTCGTAGCCCTGTTTTATCGAAATCGGCCCTCCAACTTTCATCCCCGTACTTACACGAATTCCTCTTAAATTAATAATCGTATCTCGTTTGTTTTTCAGAACATGGACGTGGCGAAGGCCTCTGAACGTTTGCTCAAATTGGCTGTGAGTATCGTAGAATCTATTTAGTACTAATCGTATAGTTTTAAAATCGTAGAAACGTTCCAACGAATTCCTCGTCGCGAGCATGAATGCTTTCAACGATCAAACGACGATAAGTTTCGTTCTTGCAATTCTATCGTAGCACCTTATTTAGGAAAAGGGTGGTAAAGTCGCGCTGCTTACTGACTACGAGCGTGTACACGGTCCGTAAAACGAATCCGCGCGTGTGCTTTCCCATGCCTCTTGCCTTACAATTGTTTTCCCAGTTTGCGCGGAGACCTTTTAGGTGGAAAGCCTCGAAGCAATATTTGCAAATTCAATCTCCTTTTCGCGGTGTGTTCCTCAGAAAGTTCGTCGCGACGAACGTACGGTTCGAGACAGAACCACGCGTCTTACAAAGAGGATCTCAGCACCGATTTTAACGAAATTTGATAGATTTATCGTAACCCAGATTATAGCTACAGATGACCAATCAGTTATAGAAATTTCTTATTCTATCATTATCAGGACGTTAAAACACTTGGAATAATTTCTTTATTTATTATTATTTGAACGGGAAACTTCCACTGTATACAAAAAACAATATAAAATGCAATACGTAAACGTGAAATATAATTTAGGACATATATAAGTCTCACATAAGTTTCAATCCCACTCCCATACTGACCGAAATTGAAAAATTTCAAATCGTTCTAAAAAAATTATGTTTGGTTGCAGTGGTCAATTACAATCGTTTTTGGTCAATACACATACCCTCGAAATTCCACGCACTTTCGAGAAAAAAATTCCGTACCGAAAATGTAATGGCTGACCATATGTGACATTTTTCCCTGAAATTTCATGCGTTTGTTTAAAACGTTATAACTTCTGAACAGATTGGAGGATTTTAATGTTTCAAAATTCAAATAACGCGTATTTTAGTGCAGAATATGTAGACATTCCAAAAATGTTCGAAAAGTTGTTCCTTAAACCCATAAAGTGAGAAAACCCCTATAAAAATAGTTCAATTGTCAAATGTCCATAACTCCTACAATAGTGAATATATTTCAATGAAATTTATTTCTGAAGTAGAGTTCATGGGTATCTACAAAAAAGTACTAAACAACATTTTCGTACAGCGTCAAACAAATTTATTAAAAACGACAAACGAATTTTTAAGAAAAATCGATAGGGGATAGGTGCTGAAATTTTCTGGCGAAATTGAAAAGTTTCGAATCATTCTGGAAAAATTATTTTCGATTACAAGGGTCAATTGCAATCATTTTTGGTGAATACACATACTCCCGAATTCCTACGCACTTTCGAGAAAAAAATTCTTTACCGAAAATACAATGTCTGATCAGAAATGGTGATTCCCCTGAAATTTCATGTCTATGGTTAAAAAACGAGAACTATTGAACGGATTGAAAGGATTTTTAATGGGGCTCTACAGCCTAAGAGAAATGGGCCAAAAAAATGCATTGTATAATAATACATTGAGAAAATACAGATCATCGTTCTACAGTCGGAACTTTAAACGTTAATAACTTTTCAACAAAGCCTCAATCAACAAATTGGTATTCTTGATTATCGTCTTTTTTTGGCCTCCAGAATTTTCCATTAAAATTTTTCCCAGGAGTGGCCGAACACACTGTATATTTTAAAATTCGAATATTCGAATAAAATATAGTTTCGTTAATTTTCTGACCCCATGTTACCAGGGGATTGAAACAGCCCTATCAGGATTTATACTCACCCCTAAGGTGCTTGACCCAATCATTGACCAGTGAAGCTGCAGTCGTCGCCATTGAAATGCAACTCGAAAGTTTCGCGGAGTCTATGAATTCATGATTCAACTTTTGCCGCCCGTGCAGCTAGTTACGGTTGACGTTTCCACGTGAATTATGCACCGTCGGAAGCCGGCTTGCAACGTAGTTTTCCTGTAAACGTCGGTTCTGTCGATAATCGTTTCAATTCGAAGATCCGCTTCGTGGGACGCCGCTACCCCGTCGTAAGAAGATATTCTTTCTTTTCTACGGCGCTCTTTCTCTCTCTGGAGCCTCCCTCGACGTCTGGAGGGGGAGTTATTTCAACGATTCCGGACGGGTAGGGCAATAGAGCCTCGATGCTGCGCGTATAATTCTCTTACGAAGTTCGTATTTCCTTCGGTTCTTGAGGGAACTTCAGAGACGCAACGTTCTCGAGTCGGTTCACGCAGCCGGATGTTTAATAGCTGGGACAAAATTCAGCGTCGTATTTCGCCCCCGTCTCGTCGTCGCTCGAGCGTTACGCGGAAGTTCCGCGCCCGTGAACTCGCGCGTCCCAACTTTCCGCGAGAGGATTCCGATTGTTTCGCGCGTGTCGAGGCGTCGCGCCGTGCTGTTCGAAACGCCATCGCGAAACACGAGACGATCGCGATTTTCTCGCTCCGCTTGTACACAATCGACACTGATTCCCGCTGCACGATCGTTTCTAAATGGGGTTCCAACCGTAAGGGATGCAAAAATTTAATTGCTCCGAAAGATCTCTTTTATTCCTAGAAGAGTCGAATATTTCATGCTGGGTACAATATACTATTTACGAAGGAACTGAAATTCTTTAGGTATGTAAAATTCACTTCAAACGGTGGAAATTGAGCCTCAAATATCGGGATATTTTTATTCTCTTATTGTAACTAGGAAACTGTCACTTTGTCACGGTTTTTAAGCAACTGAGTAGAAAAGAATATTTTGTAAAAATATTATTCACGAGAAAAACATTTCTGAATGTTTTCAAGCAACCGAATAGAAAAAATAATTTTGTAAAAATGATATTATTTACGAGGTGGTTGAAACTTTCTAGGTATGTTAAATTCATTTCAAGGGGTAGAAATTGATCCTCAAATATTTCTCAATATTTTCGAGCAACTGAATGGAAAAGAAAATTTAGTAAGAAAATAAACAATAATTAGAAGAAGCAAGGTTCGAAGATTCAGGGGAAGATGAGAACGACGCCTCGCCAGTTTGTCAATTTCGAGAGTTTTACGGCGATGGCTGTCTTAAGTTAATCGTTTCGTCGCGCGGAAGTAGCTCATAATAAATAACACCCCTCCTATTTCATCGAATGGACAACAAAATTATCTTGGAGCGAAGTCCCCGTGTAGCAGGGGGTTAATGGATCCTTATTTCGACTGGACGTTTACGTTTCACGTCACCGTAAAGAATGCACCTTTTATCCCCAGCGATCAAGTTCGTTGAGAGAGAGTCTCTGTCGTTAGGTTGGAGGAGTAAATTGCGAGTTGAAACTCGGTCCGGGAGATTGCTCTCATTTTAGAAAATATTACCGTTTTTGGGGATTGCGAATCGCAAAGGAAAATATCGGTTTTCGGTGATCTATGAACGAGGATGCCCTTTTAACGTCGTTACGCGGATTTTATCGGATTCCCCGTGCTGCGGAATAACCGCGCTGTCCCGTAATCGGGAACGCAAACTTCGAAAACACGGCCCAGTTAATTCGACGCGCAACATTTTCGGGACGCTGTTGAAGCCACGAATACGAAACCAGTTTCTGGTGCTTTTGATGCATTAATTATAATTTTCGTAGTTCGTAGTGCTGGACATATGCATTAAACGGCTTTAAAACTTTGGGGAAAAACAGAGTGTCCTTAATATAGTTTTTTCTCAAAGAAACTGCAACGCCAATCGATTTTCTCGTATTTGTAAAAATACGTAAACACTTACATTTGTCGTTAAACGATCATTCTTTTTCTGCTTATCAATTTATATCAAATGGTATTTTTAAAACAGTTCCGGAACGTTAATAATTGGTAAAAAGTTGTTAAAAATGTAGAGTCGTGCAAAGATTACGCGCAGATCTGGCGGCCATGCTCCTAGGGGCGAAGTCCATCAGCGACAAAAACCATAAAATTAATTACGTACAATGGAATATCGTGGAACATTATTTGCGTACTGGAAATAGCCGTCGATGGAGGAGCGGGCGTAGCGGTCGCATTAATGGAAAAGTAATCAGAAGAATGGCTTTCCGAGGTTTTCTGTGTTAATGTAAAAGCCACGCTGCTAGAAAAACAAGTGCTGCACAAACAAGCTGTTCCGATAATGGTCGAAAGATTTTTAATTTGCGCAGGGAACGAAAACATGCATGCTCCGTCACGACAGTAAATTACAGTATGAATTATCTGGCTCTTAAATTGTTTATTGCACAATTTGTTAAAAAAATGTAAAACGTTCGATGTGTTTATAGTTTTCTAAATTTTGTGTATAATATTTCTTGGGTATCAGAAATGTCTGAAACCTGTATACGTTGCAATATCGAACAGTTAATATTATCGAAGTAGCGAGTCTTTTAACGCGAGTGGTCTCGTTTTGCCAGCGAACGAACGTCCAATAATAGAGAAAGCAATTAGATCATGACAAAAAACAGTTCTTTACTTAGAAGGAAAACATCGACCAGCATTCGCGAATGAAATAAAGATTATACACTTTGCTAGTATATTGCTAGTAGATGATGGGTTCTTATAAAACGGTATGAGAAGTGTCCGAGAAATTTTTCATAGGACGTGTACAGGTGAATTTAATAGTAATTTCAGGCCTAAAATAACGGGTTGAATATATGCACTCGCTTCCGTGCAACTTTTATTATTATATAGGAATTGTAAAATATCTCATAAGAATGGTTTGAAGAAACTAAAGTGTGGCCGACAGTTTCTGCTTTCGTCACCAGACGGCTACGCTCTTGACTTTCTCACCAGCGCCCGATTACCTATTAGTCTAAACAGGGTGATTCTAGAGGCCAAAATAAGACGAATATCAAAGATACAAATTCATTGATTGAGGCTTCGTTAAAAAGATATAGAAACATTTTCGGTCACACAGTATATTTTCGGTAAAGAATTTTTTTTTCGCCGAATAATTTCTTCACCTCTGTCGATTTTTCTTAAAAATTCGTTTTTCATTTTTAATAATTTTGTTTGACACCCTACAGAGAAGTTGTCTCATACTTTTTTGTAGGTACCCATGAGTACTATT